ATTAATCAGAACCCCCTCCCCCAACTAAAACAAACAAAACAAACGACACACACACACACACACACACACACGCACACACACACACAACCCCCCCAACCCCCCCCCCCCAAAAAAAAAACCCCCCACACACAAAAAAAACTTACGTGTGTTTGTCAATAATCCTATCGACTGTAGCACAATGGTTGACCTGAAACTGCTTAAAAAGAAACGATTACTGGTGTCACACTAGTTTTGGCTGTAACTAATTGAAGGAAAGAACCACCCATTCCCTTCCCCACTCGGGACTCAGTGAGACAGTCTTGAATTAACACCAACGGCAGAGCGGGTCTTGTGGTCTAGACGTACGGTGTTCGCCTCTCATTCAGAAGGCCCAGAGTTCGAAACCTGACAACTCTAAAATGTTTTATCTTTTCACCCCCTTTCGTGGTCTCCAGTCATCTTCTGTAAATTGCTTTCGTCTCCCCCCCCCCCTCAACTTCATTTCGACGCCACCTCTCTCCATCTGATTCTGTACTCCTGACTCTTTCTATCGCTATTCCTGGCTCTTTCTTACTGCTGGTTTTTCAGCAATACCTCTGATATTAGAGTAAATAAGATTAAACACCTAGCCTTCTCTGATAAGGACAAAAAATATCGGACGTCCCATAGGTAAGTTGTGCAAGTTAAAGATTCCTTGGTGGTCCTAAAATGGATAAGAGTAGGATTTGGCTGCCACCCGGGCAGAGTTCAAAATCAATTCCATCCAAAACTAAAAATACTCGATCTGATTAGTAAAAAAACCGAATAGTGTAACTTTGAAATCAGAATGTGGCTAACTGAGGGCAAGAGGTCCTTCTAGGCGGGACAAAACAAGCACATACGTAAAAATCAGTGTTTCACTACAGTTTGAAGAACCAGCAATCGACTACCCTAGAGATCTAACAGGGGAACTGCACGAGGAAAAACACCAACGACTCTTCATTACTCATTACACTGAAAATGTAAAAGTTTCTCATTGATACCATAATTTATGCTGGCTGCTTCAACTTCACGTCTTCTGCGTGTGACAGCGAAACTCATAACCGCTACAATACACACGGCGGCTTATTATTTTGAGAACTCACGAATGCGTCCAGAAAAATCGACCTGCTCTACCATAAAACAAACTGAATATTCAAAACATATTTTTAAAATTACAAATGCACATAATTACTCCCCAGCGACACCATCCCCCCCCCTTTTTTTTCCATACAAGCACTCATAACGCACTCTCCCCCCCTCTCTCTCTCACTCATTCTCTCTCTCTCTCTCTCTCTCTCTCTCTCTCTCTCTCTCTCTCTCATAAATATGTATAATTTGTTGTCCATGCCAGATTACTCTCAAGTTCTAGGTAGACAAGGATAATCTCTAAACTGATGAAACTACAACGTCTACCCTCCCTCTGATGACTCAGCATAACTGACCAAAAAAAAAAACCCACCAAAAAAACCCACGCAGAATTATGATAGAAGTTCCCTTTTCACATATCACTTTTTCAAATATTGACTCAGAAAACATAGAGAAGATGGTTTGTACTTTCAAGACAAAAAGGACCTTCCGTAAGGAGGAAAATCTCCTTTTACGGAGGTTTTGGAATATATGCCCATACAAGGGAAAAAAAGAAAGCCAAAGATTAATTCATGCCCTTCGTGTTTGGATTGTTATCGACTTTCGTTTACCCTGCGAACATGACTCACCACAGGTAGGGAAACTTATCTTACGGCTTTGTGATAACGTGAAGAATGGGAGAAATTATTGTCGTTAGTAAAGGAAGATCGTATAATATTTTAGTTTTGATTAGCGTTTTACGGTACTTGCAACGCAATTTGGACACGTAAGTTTCTTAGATTAGAACTGCTGCAAGAGGGTAACAAACACAAAAAATGAAGGAGGGAAAAATAAGAAGGACGATAGATTTCTGAAGCTTGATAGGAAAGAAGGAGAAAACCACACCAGAGCGCCCGCCAACCACCCACCCACTTCAACCGGCTCTTATAGTATGTGACTATTTATAGATTAAAAAGATCTTGTTTATCGACATTGCATCACGAGGTGTGGGAAACACGCGTGTGACTCAGTGGAAGGGACGATTTTTCTTTCTTTGTAAACAATTACGAGCGGCAATTAAGCAATTGGACGCCGTTTGTTCTCATGTTGAGTCATTTGAAAACCAGGGTTAAAACGGAAAGAGGAATTCTAGTTCTGATCAACATTCGTGTTTCCTGTTTTTTTTCGGTGTAGTTTTTTTTTGTTTTTTTGAAGAAGCAAGGGTTACTAACCATCAAACTGACATATTTTTAAAAAGTAGATTGCAAACAACCGGCACCAAACAAGGATACAGGACAATATTTTTTTTAAAAGAAAGAAATGAAGAAAGGAATGGAAGAGCACACGCACGTGTTACTACAAGAAACATAATAATTATGTAAACAAATCAACAAACAAACAAAACACATACACAAACGTACACACACACATTCACACACACATACAAACACACACATACATACACACACACACTGGCGAATGCACACATTCACATATACACACCACACAACGTGCAACCGAACACAAACACGTACACACACACACACACACACACACACACACACACACACACACACATATGTACCTGCACGTGTACACTCAGACACACAAGAATACATTCATTCGCATATCATACACATACACAAGAACTAACACAAATACACATATGCATTTACACACGCATTCAGTTTCTAGATCTAGTGCAAACACATAATGTCAAGACTCACGGGCTGAAAATAGATCTATGTCATTCTTAATTCTCTTCGGAATATTGGATTGTTCGATAACAGCTTATGCTGGCACTATAGGCTCTCAGTTTGGAAAATAAAATTATGTGTTTCTTTATTTATAATATTTTCAAATTCCAATTGAGTTAAGCTTTTAGATTTTGAAGCTAAGATGACCGATCTCCACAATTTGTCCTTTTTCAAAAAACAAAAAAAGTTTTTGATTTTCGAAGTGGTAGCTTTATTTCTAAGGTCACTTTACCTTTAAAAAAGTGCTTTTACTTTTTCCAGATGGCCGAAGCAAAACATAGCGTAACTGCTGCACAATCTCACTATCTGACAAAATTATGTGGCCAGTAAGTACACACGACAATGCCTTTCACGTGTCGCCAACTCATATATTTTCTTTAAAGAATGTAGGTCATTTGTGCACCAAAGGGAAAATAGAACACAATAAAACAACAAAAAGCAACCCAAAACAAGACACAGTCATCATCATCACCATCGTCATCATCATCATCATCATCATCATCATCATCATCATCACCATCAACAAAAACAACAACAACATAACAACAACAACAACAGCAACAGCAGCAGCAGCAGCAGCAGCAGCAGCAGCAACAACACCACCACCTCCATCAACATCAGCTGAGAAATATACTGTAAAAAGACTTTATACATGTGATTGCGTTAGTGAGGTGGCCTTTAGAGTAGGCTCGACTGTACTGTAAGTCTAAATTACGTTTTCAAGAATCAAACCAAACCGTTCCGCATTCCACTTCGTGGAAAATACTTCTTCGCAACAGACATTATATCTTATTTACAAAAGGAACGTAGGGAACATTTACGAAGATTTGTCCTGTAGACACAGAGTTTAACATGACCCTCTTGAAATCTCACACGCATAAGAGGACAAGACGCAAAAAAAGTAGGCTCAAATTTCACAAATGCGTTGATAAGCCACTCTTGTCTACCCGCACGCGAGCACGTTCACGGAAGCTGCAGAGGTCGTATGCCGCAGCGATACCGCACTTTCTGTACCCAGACATTATAACCAGCGCTTTTCTAACACAACAGAATCAGTATCGATGCCCAGTACCTTCAACAAGAGAATTGGATAATCAAAAGATTGTATCACATGCATTGATGATACGTGGCTAGATCATCATCATCATCATCATCATCATCATCATCATCATCATCATCATCATCATCGTCGTCGTCGTCGTCGTCATCATCATCATCATCATCATCATCATCATCGTCATCATCATCATCATCATCATCATCGTCGTCATCATCATCATCAGTAACAGCACCACCACCAGAAGCAACAACAGTAGCCTACGAGGTCTGTGCCGGAAGTGAGTTTTCGAGTTCTGTAAAATCAGGAACTTTTATGTAACAGGTATAAAATAATGCACATTCAGCACAGCTAGCAACCGTTAATCGCAATGCACTTTTACATCTGATACAGCCTGAGCCAGCGGTGCAAAACAATCACCACTTCCGCTTCAGCCAGAGTCATGGGCGCTCCATTTGCTTCCAGCACAATTTCTTCCTCATTTTCATAATGCTACCCTTTATTTCTTTGATTTTTGCGAAAATATCAAATTTAAAAAAGAGAAAAAAAAAAGAAATAACAAAGAAACAAAAACAAAAACAAAACTAACAACTTAAAAACAAAACAGAAACGAAACGACACAACATTAAAACTTAAGACAAAGCCAACAGCAGCTACAAGAAGAAAAACAACAACGTCAACTATATCAAGAACAGCAACGATATCAACTACAACAGCAACATAAAAAGCAGAGTAAAAAAAAAAAGTATAAGACATAATATTATTTCAGCTACATG